TAGAATAGAATAGAATAGAATAGAATAGAATAGAATAGAATAGAATACTTTATTGGCCAAGTGTGATTGGACACAAGGAATTTGTCTTGGTGTAAATACTCTCAGTATACATAAAGAAAAGGTACATTCGTTAAGAATCAAGAATCATAACGTGCAACACTTAATGATAGTCATAGGGTACAATCAATCAAATCATACTAGGAAACAGTCAAGTGGGAGGGGATGGGTGATAAGGAGTGGTGAGAAGATTAACAGTAATAGTAGTGTACACTTTGTAAATAGTTGAACAGTGTTGAGGGAATTCTTTGTTTAGCAGAGTGATGGCTTTCGGGGAAAAACTGTTCTTGTGTCTAGTTGTTCTGGTGTGCAGTGCTCTATAGCGTCGTTTTGAGGGAAGGAGTTGAAACAGTTTATGTCCGGGATGTGAGGCGTCTGTAAATATTTTCACAGCCCTCTTTTTGACTCGTGCAGTATATGGGTCCTCAATGGAAGGCAGGTTGCTAGTAATTGTTTTTTCTGCAGTCCTAATTACTCTCTGAAGTCTGTGTCTGTCCTGTTGGGTTGCAGAACCAAACCAGACAGTTATAGAGGTGCAGATGATAGACTCAATAATTCCTCTGTAGAACTGGATCAGCAGCTCCTTGGGCAGTTTGAGCTTTCTGAGTTGGCGCAGAAAGAACATTCTTTGTTGTGCTTTTTTGATGATGTTTTTGATGTTAGGTGTCCATTTTAGGTCATGTGATATAGTAGAACCTAGAAATTTGAAGGTCTCTACTGTTGATACTGTGTTGTCTAGTATTGTAAGAGGTGGTAGGATGGGAGGGTTTCTTCTAAAGTCTACCACCATTTGTACGGTTTTGAGTGTGTTCAGTTGCAGATTTTTAACCTTGGCAAATAAGTAGGCCATTCCTTCTTAATTGTCCATTCTTTGAACAATTTCCCAAATTCACCGAAGCATTTTCAGATTGAAATTCAGAGTATGAATTCAATTTCTTCACCTTACCTAACTACAAAACTGTTTTTCAGGGGGAATCTGATGACTCAATTCTGCGACTGGCAAAGAATGATGGAATTGTTTCCAAGTAAGTCTGATACTTAAATCTGAAGCTGTGATAATGCATCTTTCTTTTCTGCTTTGCTTGATAGCACATCATGGATGTCATTAAGAGATACTATTCCCGAAATATATGCCTTGGTGAAAATGCTTATTTATTACGTTTATATAGTCACTCATCTCACAAAAAGTGATTTTTATAAAACACCCATTTATCAGAACTGAGGAGAAATTTCCTGACAGTGAGAACAATTAATCAGTGGAACAGCTTCTTGCCTTCAGAAGTTTTGGGTGCTCCAACACTGGAGGTTTTCAAGAAGAGATTGGACAACATTTGTCTGAAATGGTATAGGGTTTCCTGCTTGTGAAGGGGTTGGACTAGAAGACATCCAACTTTTTTTTCAGGTGTATTTTTCTGTTATCAGAAGCCAATCTCAACGTTTCCTCCTATAATTCCCCCTTCCCTATGAAAGTCTCTCCTCTCCCTTGTTTTTCAGTGCTTCTGGGTATATTTTCACGTTTAGCATAGAGCTGTACCAAACATTATATTTTAAGATAAAGTCAAATGGGGCAGGTTCCAGCGAAGAATTTATGTGAGCCCATTCCTTAATTTCTTGGAAAATTAACCATTCTGCATTTTGTTTTGTCTTTGCAGGAATTTTTAACAGAAAAAAATGTCATAACATGGGATTTCCTAGAAAATAAACCATTGGAAAACATTTGTTGTGCAGTGCATTATTTCAAGTCATAACAGGCAGAATGCTTTACCCATGGCTAATTTTGAAGTTTACAGCATTATTGATAGGTGTCATTTAACACAGTTTAAAAGTACAGTCCTGTATGTAATTAACTATAAAATAAATTATTGGTTTCAGTGGCATTGATCCTAGAAATGTATTTGTTTCCTAAATTAAGTTTAAGAAACTGAAATAAGTAATTTGGTAAAGTCTTTATATTAAAGATTGATTAAAACATCCATAAGCCTTAGAGATAGGTGGATTAGGTTTAACTAAAAGATACACAGTTTTGAGGTACTCAAAGTTTGTAAACATGCAAGTTAAAATTTCTGAAATAAAATGCAGCCCGCAATGATACATGGCTTCTTCCCTTGTATTTGTTGCAGTGTGACAACTGACAGTCCATAAACTAGTTGATTTGAAGAATCATCAGTGGATCTTTGCAACTAGGATTCTAATACTTGACAGAGATAGATGCACAGCTATCAGCCCTAGGAAAGACATAATGGGACTTGCCCAGGCGACATGACTGAACAGAAATTTTTAAAATTAGGCAGCCTTCCATATATAGGTAGTCCTCGACTTACAACAGTTCATTTAGTGACTGTTCTTATGTCACTGAAAAAAGTGACATCAGCATTTTTCACACTTAAGACCACTGCAGTTTCCTCATGGTCATGTGATTAAAATTCAGACAGTTGGCAATCAACTCATATTTTTAACGTTTGCAGTGTCCCCAGATCTATGTGAAAACCTTTTGCGACCACCTGACACGCAGTGCCAACAGGGAAGCCAGATTCCTTTAACTGGCTTATTAACTTAACCACTGTAATGATTCACTTAACAACTGTGGTGAGAAAAATCACAAAATGGGGCAAAACTCACTTAACCAATGTCTCATAGCAACATAAATTTTGGGCTCCATTATGGTCGTAAGTAGAGAACTACCTGCATCGCCTCTGCTGTAGAAATCTACTGTAATTTCTTGAATAGGAAAAATTTGGATGGTTTTTGTGGAATAAACAGTCATGAATAAGCAAGGCTTATTTGTGGAGGTGGGGGGCGGTAATAGACTTAATCAGCAGGTCAAAACAATTCATCTCCACTTTGTAAAGCCCAGAGACGCTGCACTGAGTTCATTGAAAAGGACCAATGGTTAATGCTCTGTTGGCCTTTTATTTTTACTCCCTTGATTCTAGCTAATATCCATCATGTTCCACTTTAGACCATGTAAAAAGATTTCCCCTGTCCAGTCATGTCCGACTCTAGGAGGTAATGCTCTCCATATTGTCGGGATTCCGGCCGTTGCCCCAATTAAATCGAGTCTCGAGCCAAACTTCCAAAACTTCAGAAGGATTTATTGGGAGTTAATGTGTCTGGCACTGCCTGGGTGTAGCTGACTCTGAGACACAATTCATGGTCACCCTTGACCCTGGTTTTGCTCGGCAGAAACTTTAGTCACCTAGTTACTGTCTTTGAAAAACTATTTATGGAATGCACTTTCGATTTCCAAGCTGCTGCACTACTTTTTCAAACCTCTTTCCCACTTCCTTTTCTGTTGGCAACTCTAAAAAGACCATAGAAATATATTATGAGTTGACATATGTTAGCCGAGGGACCCAGTATTGTCCAAGGGCGTTTCCACGATCATGTGGCAAGCATGACATGCCACAGCACAGAGCATGCAGCAAAACAGAATGCTGTTAGAACGTGTATGTGTAACTATTTGGCTTGCAAATGCCGTTTTACAGGTAGTCCTTGAATTTACAAGCAATTTTCATTTTCAACGATCATATAATCTCAGGATGATGTAACCATCATAAATACAGAAACTCCTCGACTTACAACAGTTCACTTAGTAACCATTTGAAGTTACAACAGCATTGACAAAAGTGACAATGACAATTTTTCACACGACCATCGTAGCATCCCCCATGGTCATGTGATTTACATTCGGATGCTTGGACAGCCAACTCACATTTATGACAGTTGCAGTGTCCCAGGATCAGGTGATTCCCTTTTGCAACCTTCTGAGAAGCAAAGCCAATGGAGAAACCAGGTTCAAAACAACTGGGTTACTAATTGAACAACTGCAGTGATTCCTTTAACAAGCGTGGCAAGAAAAGTCATAAAATGGGGCAAAACTCACTTAACAAATTTCTCACCAGCAATATAAATTTTGGGCTCAGTTGTGGTCGTAAGTTGAGTACCTGTGCATGCCAGTTGCCCATAGTTTGATCACATGACTGTGAGAATGCTGCAATGGTTTGAAGTGCCAGAGGAAGAGGGAGATGAGTCCTTGGTGCTCTTTGAGCTTGGCTGTTTTGAAGACATTTCATTACCAAACTAGGTAACATGATCAGTGCTAGAAGGGAGTGAGTTTTGCTCTTTATATACAAGTGATCTGCCTTGGCAATGTTGTAGGAGTATCTTGATGGTTCCTTCATTAGACTGTTCTTTTCTGTTAATTTCAGGATTCCAGCAATCGCTCTAATTAAATCATGATTCTCAAGCCAAATTTCAATCAACTTCAAAGGATTTATTAGAAATGACATACTGGCACTGCCCTGTATGAAGTCAACTCTGGAATACGTAATTTACAGTCCCCTGTGACCCTGTTTCCCCCTTCCTTCCTGGGTGTCTGATAAACCAGATTCTCCCATTGAGCACGTTCACAGGCTGGGTGTCATCATTCACGTTCTCCAATTAAATATATTTGAGGGCAAAAACTCTGGTATTTTAGTTACAATCTTTTAAAGATAAGAGTTGGAATGTACTTTCGCTTTCAACTGCTCTTCCAGATTTCCTCTCCCCCACCCTTTTTTTTTTTAATGGTAACTACTAAAACAGGCATAGGAATGTTTTATGAGTTGACAGCTTGTTTGCAGTTCTTTGATTTGGAGAATAGTATCAATAGCATTGTTTACTGTTTGATTTTTGCTCTGGTATTGAGGGAGGGAGGTTTAGAAACAAAATACAAAAAATTAAAATCTTGGTGTTAATAACTTACCTGGCTGGGTTTTTCCCCCACCCCAGCTGTAAACAAACCCTGATGGAGGTGCTATTTTTGGAAAGGGTGCCTTTTTTTTCATTCATGTATGGGTAGGTGTAATCCAATTCCCCACTCAGCACTATAGTATTTCTGCATTCCACGGGCTGCCTATAAAATATGCCTGTTCTCTTATCCATTAGAAATAAGGGGTTTTTTTTGTTTTGTTTTTTTGCCAACCTGGGCTATTTTAGGGAACTTTTCCAGATTTATTTTAAGAATCGGCATGCAGTAAAACGCTCTGCGCTGTTCTCAGACAGAAATAGGCCCGATCTCAAAAAGCGCCATGAAAGGGAATAAACGAGAGAGGAGGTTTGTGCCAGTGATGCTCTCCTGCCCTTACATGGTTACTTTGCAGTAACGTGAAATTCTTATCCATTAATTTTAGAGGGACTAATCCCAATTGTGGTTGTTAAGTCAAAGGTTACCTGTAATGGGGCTTCCCAAATAATCTATGATAACGCGGCTTCTCTTGGAAGGGACTGTTTCAGATTGCAAATTGGATGACCCACAGTTTTAGTTTTGGAACAACTTGCCTCCAGAAGTTGTGGATGCACCAACCCTGGAGGCTTTTAAGAAAGGACTGGGCAATCATTTGTCTGAAATGGAATAGGGTTTTCCTGCTTGAGCGGGGAGGGGGTTGGACTAGAAGACCTCAAAGGTCTCTTCCAACTCTGTTCTTTTATTCTAACATTCCTGATGTCTAACCGTAAAACATGAATGAAAAAGAGAAGGCTTCAGCCCTCCGTAAATACAATTTCGCCCCTAGAGAAAAGTTTAGTCTCCCTTTTCTTGACCAACAGTGTTTTCAGAAAACACAGCCCACCAAACTGTTTTGAAGATAACGTTGGAAGAATTTTCCTTCTGGGTTCAGTTCCAAGTGGGGAAAAAGACACTGGAAACATGGAGGCTGTTTAGAAAGATGGTTTAATGGTGGACGGGACCACATGGCTTGGAGCTCCAAAGTGAAAAGGATGATCACGTGCTTCAAGATGTTGGGCGGAGGAAAAGAAGGAAAAAAGGGGCAAGATGCTGAGAGTGCAATTGTTTCATACCCTCTGCTGGGCACCACCTTAGTGTTTCCTGTTCCTGTGCAAGAATTGTATCCCATTGGCTGTCAGACTCCCAGGGGCGGGGCTCTTAGCTAACTTTGTAGGCTTTGTCTGGACCACATGGCTTCACCTGAGTGCCGGCTGATGCAATCTTCCCAGGCCAGATTATGAGATGGGTAGAGGTCTTTGTTATATAGAATACTTACTTTAATGGCCCACCCATTTAATAAAGGGGGGTGAGCTGTTGTTTCGGGGGTGAGTTTCTGCTTCTGAGTTTCTACTTCTCTTTTTAGGGGAAATATTCTGCCTTTTTACTATTTCTTAGGATATTTCATTTTTCTAGGGGACGGGTGGGTGCTAACCTACAATAATAAATAACGAGACCTTTGGGTCATTAAAAAAAAACACATCTCAGGGCCACATGAATCAGTCAACCTCTCCCAAAACTGGAATGTTGTCCGTGGAAGACCCGAGGACTACCCTTGAGCCTTTTGCCGAAATTTGCAGAAGGTAAGAAGAAGCTACATCAGGTACCTTCCCAGGTTGTCACTGTCCAGGTATGTTGGACCAACAACTGCAACTTTTGTGAAGAAGTGTCAACATAGCCCCACCTACCTAGTTAATCCTACTGTTCGAAGAAATATCCTTCTGGGTTCAGTTCCAAGTAGGGAAGAAAAACACTGGAAACATGGTGACTGCTTGGAAAGATGGTTTATTGATGAATAGGATGGGTTCCTGGACAGAAAAGGCAGAGATGCTGAAAGTCCCTGGGTTTTATATCCTCGCTGGCTTTGAACTTCCTGGGGCCTGATTGGTTGCTGTCAGAGGACATAGCTAGCTTTGTAGGTTGTCTGTGTGCGAAGTTTGGTTGACACTTGGTG